TCTTGTAGAGCATTAGGGTGATAGGCATAAGTAGTTACAACTGTTTAGTGATTTTCCTTTTCTAAATTTCAAACCATTGTGCCAATTTTCACTTTCTAAAACAGACAAACATAATAGAATAAAAACCTTTTTACTTGGTTTCAATCCTTGCCCACACCAATATACTAAAGATGTTAGAAAAATTTATTATAGGTTATAGTATAAAAAACCTTGCTTTTTTACATCAGTTGAGATTGGAGTTCATAACCCCACACCAATGTTAATTGTAAACTCCATAATCATGGCAGCATAAGGCAGTGCCTCATCAGGGCTGCATACAGTTTTGAGTTGTCCTTGATTGTTCAAGACTGATTGCCAATCATAGCTAGAGAGCCATGTCTGTCCTACTATTTAATCCATACACAAGGGGTGAATTCATACCTTTCTCAAGGCAATTTGTGTGAAAGTAAAAGTAACATACTCAACTGGAATTTGAACTTGGCTTGCCAACTTCTCATTCCGAGTGACTAACTATTACACTGCCTGCACATCCAACAAATAGTAAAAATACTAATAAAGGCTGTACAAACAGAAAACAATTTATTGATCAGACACTGTATGAAGAATAGTAAGAAATAAAAATAGAATATATCTCCACTCACCCCTCCCAACCCCTACTCAGCCAAAGATGAATTTCGCAACCACACTCTCATCCTGCAAGTAAGTGCTGAAAAGGAAAGGTGATGTTTTCTTTGGGCCTAATTTCAACAGGTGAATTTTATGGCACTTACCAGAGTTGCCCTAATAACAACAAAACAGTTTTCTCCCTTGTTATCTACTCTTTGAGTTCATAAACAGCCATTTTGTTTTTAGTGTCAAATAGCACTGCTTGTTGACTTTTTCTCTGGTGGGATATTTAGTTAGAATTTTCTGCTGCTGCAAGCTACAAATTTAGGATATAACAACATCACAATTGTTTCTAACAAGACATCTTAAAAGAGTGGGGTCTGCTAAAAATCTCAGAGTGGTTTTGATTTGACATGAGATAGTTTTTTTTTTCTTTCATTTTAAAACTATCAATTTCTTTTTCAATGTTTTTTTTTACCTCCTCTTTCACAATTAGAATCTTAAACACCCTTCTCCTTTCTGCATTCTTGATAGACATTAGAGTCTAAAGATCACATCCTAGCATCGGCCCCACTTCTCTATAACTCTTACCCCTCTTTGTCAGTGTGTAAAATTACACCAGATGTGTAAATCATTAGTGATATAACTTGATTTCATGTGTTCTCTTCTTTTTTTTTTTCTCTCTCTCTCACCTTCTCTATTAAAATAAACCCTTAAAAATAAAAGCTGAATTTAGCTCAATGACTGACAACTGGGGTTGCTAGATTTGCCAAATAGGAATACAGGACACCGTGTTTAAGTTTAAATTCAAATTATTTGTTATATATATATATAATTATTTATTTAAAAATATGATTCCAATGCTATTTTTACGCACTATATATATATATATATATATATATAAAAGAATTAATGTATTTATTTCAAATCCAACATTTTTTTTTTTTTTTTTTTGAACACAAAGGTTATTTTTTAGGGGACACTTGTGTGGGTAGATGCCCAGCCTGTTCACTCAAGAAAAATGAAATGTACTCTCTAGCAAGTTTTGAACCAACATCCCTCTTTGTAGGAGAAACCACCTGATGACAAGTGTCCTAAAGCATATCAGATCAGGCAGTGGTTTCTCTTACAAAGGGAGACAGGTTCAAACCCTGCTGGGGAGCACATTTTCTTCATTAAGTTTTCTCAAGTTCACATGCTGGTAGATGTAATACACAGTATTTTAAAAAATGAGGCATTTACTCAAATATGGATGTCTGCTAAAAATAGTTTGAAGTAAGATATATATATATATATATATATATATATATAAAAACAAAAGAAGTTTATGTTGCAACCATATTAAACACACAAATTCATTCACTAGCTCAATCACTAAATCTACTTTCAAAATCTACCACGATTCTAACTGTAGAAGTCATAACATAATTTACCTCCTAGAATGCACACTATGCCAGAAACAATATGTAGGAAAATCTGAATAGCCCTTTCACTACAGAATTAATAATTATCGCAATTGAATTAAGTCAACTCCCCATAAAAAATTATTACCTGTAGAACAACATTTCCACCTGGAAAAACACAATTTCAAAACCCATGCCAAATTCACTATAATTGAGAGAATAGAAAAGTTCAGAGCAGCTAACATTAGAAAGATTTTAGAGTCCCATGAAAATAAGTGGACACAATGTCTAAAAATACAATATCCAGCCGGGCTAAACCATAAATTTAACAATATAGATAGTACTAATATATAACTCAACAAATCAAAACCTACCCACATTTCTCCCCCGCACAAGACAGACATGCTTACGGAGGTGTGGAAGCCTCACACTTATGCACACACCCACACAAATATACACACTTACACACATCATACTCACTCACTCCCTAATGAGCCAAATGATAACACACACCTACAGCAATACACATGCTTACACATATCATACTCACTCACTCCCTAAGAACCAAATAACACACACACAAACACTAAACAGAGACACATCCCCTCTCCAGGACCAATAAAACTGTCAAACTGACCAAGGGAATTCAGGGAAGCATAGATCCATCCAGCTCTTATCTCAAATAACAACTTAAAAGAGACTGTTTGACCAACACAAGGAATGTTAAAAGATTCATGTTAAAAGATTCATGTTAAAAAGATAAAAAAATAAAAAAAACAATTGAAAACTACAGACAAAAGTTCATTTTCTCCATCAAGACATTCATTTCTGTAGTTTACTGCTACCAGCAAGCAGAAATATTTCTTCTCTCGATGATGGCCATTTTGGACTATTTCTGCTTGCTGGTAGCAGTAAACTACAGAAATTAGTCGAGGAAATGAAATAATAATAAAAAAAAACAAAAGAATATTAATCTACAACCCAGTGTGTCTGAAGATTTTAATATTTTTTTATTGTTCAAAATATATATATATATATAAAGATAAAATAATATTACTGACACACACATATATACTAAAATATATTACAAATCATTTGAATTAAAATTTAAACAGAGCATCTGTTTGGAAAATCTAGCAACCTTTCTAGCAACAGTCTCTCAAAACATGACCTCTTTCATTATTGGTCATCACTTTCAGCTTCTCTCAATAATGACATCATGAAAATTACTATTTAAAAAGAAAAATGTTAAAATATTGTTGTGACTCTATTATAAATGATATACACTTGGTTGGAAAGGGAGCTTTCAGAAGCTAAAAGGAAATAATGTGTAAAGAAATTATGAAAGCAAAACAAGTATAGCACTAAATTTATAGGAATAAAAATATTTCCTCATTTCTGTAATTCCTTGTATAAAGGGATGTATGTCCTGATTTTATTAGAGATGGACAAAGTTTTGTCCATGTGCATATAAGCATATATAAAGCATTTAAAAGAACCCCCCAAAAGCATTATAATAACTAAACTACAACCACCTATGGTAAGGTACACCATTATGTTCGCAACAAAGTTTTTTGGGGGGGATAACCTACTTTAAGAAAGTGGACAGAGGAAATGTCATATCAAATAGAGATATGGATTACTTGTACTGAGTAGCTAAGTTTTTTTTTTGTTGTTTTTTTAGGGTCTCCCCCTCATTCCCCCATGCATTTTGTCACTAGTTAAAGGCCACGTCTTCTCTTTTGATACTACAGTGTTTACCTTTCCTCTAATGGGTCTTTCCAATTGATGCTCTTAGTACGGGCAGTTTGGATTAATCCCTACATTCTCTTGGTAGATACATAATTGTTAGACCTTAGAATCTATATTATTATTATTCTGCTTATTGGTGTGTGTGTGTGTGTGTATATATATATATATATATATATATATATATATATATATATATATATATATAGCTGTTATACTTTTATACCTTGGATCAGTGTACAATATCTGCCTGATCCCTGCTTTTTCTGAACTGGAATCACTTAGGATTTATGGCTGAGAAACCTACATAATAATATTAAGTGGGAAGGAATTGAGAAAAGGGAGAGAAGGAAGGTAAGAAAGAGTGTATGAAGCAGAAACGGTAGGAGGTAAGAAAAAGCCAAAGCAAAATTAAAAGAAAACCAGATGAAAGAAAAAAATATATCCAGAAATAGAGGAAAAGATCACACACACACATTGATAAACAGTGGATATTGAGAGACAGTGAAAGATTGAAATGTAGGTAAAGGGAGAAAGGTGTGAAAATTAGAATATATTAAAATTCTTAATAGAAAGGTAGAACCAAAGAAAGTATTTATCTAAAAATATTAGTACATTCTTTTTTCACATATGAAAATCTACAAAGCTTTTCATTTCAACTGGCATACTAATCATGGTTGTTAAATTTAAGTTTATTCACTCCACGAGGGTAGATTCTTTGTATTCTGCTTTCCATGCTTAGGGGAGATAACTCATATAATTTAATAGAACTTGGTTTATTTTGCTTAATTATTTCTTCCATTAAATCAAAGTGACTTTTCCACACTACTTGACCCAGAAATTGAACTCACAATTGCCAAGGCACCAGATTTGTCTTAAATAATGAGTTATCACCCCATAGCATGGAAAGTAGCATGATAAAACTCTACTATAGATTGAATAAAAGCTTTGATTCAAAATTCCATGAAGGTTACTAAGTAAGACAGAATCCTAAAGAGGACTAGCATGTATGACGGACACTTAAAGAGGGCCAGAGTGTATGACAGTTTAAACGTTATATATGTATAACAACCATGATGAATGTAAAAATTCTGACAGAAACTAAATTATGCTTGTGTAACAATTAGATAAAAAAAATGGATATCTAACAAAGATTTGAAAGGATAAGGGAGAAAATGAGATGATACAGCACATGGGTAAGAGAAGAGCAAATATATGAAATAACCTTAGTCGTAGACACCTATGAAATTTCTGTGAGTCCAACTAGTAAATTATAAATGTAGGAACCAAAATTTTTATTTGCTTTTATCCCCCCACTCTCCTCTTCTGCTCTTATTTTTTATTATTCTTTTTATGACATTCTCAAGAGTTAAAGAAAAATGTCTAAGCACCATTTTATTTCTTGGTAATGTAACTCAAATATAATAATCTTAGCTTGTCAGGTGCAAAGATAAAGTTGCCCCCAGATGTTTGTGTGTGTCAACTTGAGTTTGCCAGAAGATTTTTTGAGGTTTACCAATGAAGGCTTCCCTCTTCACATCCAATCAGTTATTTACTCTTTAAAAAAAAATGGATGTGATAGAAATGAAAATAATTTAACTTTATTTTTTTATTAATTCTATTTTCCACTCTCTTGATTTTATAGAGCTGCTTTCCAAATTTGATCTTAGAGAATAACGAATTTGAACAAATTAATAATTTTTTTTTTTTTTTTTTTAAATTAAGACTTTTTCATTTAATATTTTTCTTAATGTTTTGGCCAGTAATGAAATGGCTGCTTTGTCTGTCTGTGCTTTCTGCAGAATAACATAAAACATCTACAATATATATTATAATACTATTGTTCATCTAATACAAAACCCAAGAGGCATTCAAGGTAGACAGTTATGGAATAATTAGGCTGTTAGATATAATTCTTTTCTTCTTCTTTTTTTTTTTTTTTGAGGCAAACAATTATCAAATTATCCTGTTACATTTTTCTTTTTTTTTCTAATAGATTTTGGGAATAAAAATATATATAATAATATATATATATATATATATATATATATATATATATATATATACACACTGGTTAATTACTTTGATTAGCTGTTAAATAGTCATCCTCCTTTTTTTTCTCTATTACAAAAAATCTTGTCACTACATTCTCTTTTATTCTTTTACGTTTATCCTTTTTTAAATTTTATCTTTCGTTATCCTTTGTTTCTTTCATTTTTTTTCTCCTTCATTTCTTTTTTTCTTTCATTTTTTTCTTTTCTGTTTTTGTTTTTACTTTTTTCATTGTTTTTTCTTTTTCATTTTTTTTCTTCCTCTTTCTGTTGTTTTTTTTCATCCTCTTTCTTATCGTGTTTTTTCGTCCTTTTTTTCAATATTTCCCTTTAATTTTTTCTTTATATTTAATCCATCTCTTGTTGATGGAAACTTTAGAAGTGCTTTTTACTTTATTACTGGTTTAAATTGACTAAAGACCTCTTTTAGGTAACAAGTCATTTTTTTTAAATTTTTATTTCAAGTTTATTTACCCAGTCATAAAGATTAGGTTTTATTATTTCTTCAAACAATTTCTACTTGGGTTATGAGAATAATGGCAGATTAATGTGACCAAGATGTTGCATATTTTATTTTTTTGGAATGAATATTAGAAATAAAGGGGATTTTAGAATTTGGTAATTAATTTTTAATCTGAAATTGCAATAATTAACTGCAACAAAGAACCAAACATCTCATACATTTTCCCTTGCTTTACAGCTTTGAAGTAGCTCTTAAGAATTAAATATCCAGCCATTTAAAAACTGTTTAAGTTGAATTGATTTTTATTCTGCATTTTAACTTATTTGTTTTAAATAAAATTTAAAACTTCAATATTAAATGAAACTCTTTGAAAATTTCTGTTTGATGTTTATTTAAATTTTTTATTTGATATTTTAAAAATTTTGCTTTCATTGGAAAAAAATTATTCTGATGTTTTCAGCTGAAGTATTTTTATTATTTTTCAATTTATTCAAACAAGTATCCTCATCTTTGTTTTGATTATATTACTTTAGCTGATATGTCCTTTGGCCTTATTCATGTTGCATCCAGTAAATTTTTGTAGTTGTCCAATACGTTTCTAATATCTTGATAAAAATACTTTTTCAACTCAGAAATTTGATCAATAGAGTTTTATACTAATATGAAAGCTTGAGCCAAACTTGGAAATGAGTGACTATATAAACCATTATTTTTTATTATACTGAAATGGAAAGCCTAAATGACCAAATATTATTCTGAGTACAAACACTCTTACAATGTTTTATGTTTTTGGGGTTTTTTCAATTAAAGCTTTGATTCTAAAATTTATTAACGTTGACTCCTTAAAGGTTTCCTTTTATATATGTTTTCCTGATTTTGTTCCTCAAATATCCATTCTCTTAAAGTAAAAAGAAAAGCATGAAGACATCATTACAGAAAACTTATATATAATTAGATTATTTATATCTTTTTTATTTTTATTTTTTCCAGGTATGTATTCTGACAATCATTGTTTAGAAAAAATTTTGCAGTTCAGGTAAAGCTATCATCAGAATTTCATCATATCATCAGGTAAAACTAACATCATCAGAATTTTTTTAATATATATGTAGCTGTACATGTTGTGTTTTATCTTTTTTGATTAAAGAATTTACAATACACTCTTTCAGAATAAATTGAATTTTAGAATCAGTATTAAAAGTTAAAACTCATAACAAATGTTGGAATTGTACAATTCTAACCCCCCCACCTTCTTTGAAAGCCACCATATTTTAAGGATAAATGTTATGTAAAAATTAATATTTATATGGATAAATTCTAGATAAAAATATGATTGAACTGAGTTTTTATGCAAGTTTTATTGGATATTGTTGCTAGATCTGATCTGGTGCTTTTGTTATGTATTTATAGATCTTACTTATTATAAAACCCAGGTTGTGTGTGTGTCTGTTCGTTTATATATTGGATCGGATTTCCTACAATTTTCAACCGATTTCAACAAAATTTCACAGGACTACGTAAAATTACCTTGCGGTGGTTCTGACAGTGGCAAAAATTGGAAAACACAATTGTTTTTGCACAAAATCAATTTAAAAACACGATTAAGCGGCATCACGAAAATGAAAGGGGGACAACTCATATCGAGTTATACTTATTATAAAACCCAGATTGTTTGTTTGCTTGCGTGTGTGTGTGTGTTCCTTTATATATGGGATCGGATTTACTACATTTTTCAACCAATTTCAACAAAACTTCACTTTTTTTTTGGTAGGTAGTGTTTCTTATTGTCTTGCACACTTTTTTCTTTATTTTTACATTCAGAATGCTTTAAAAATTCCATTTATAAGACAATTGTTTATAATAAAATTCTATTCAATCGGTAGACTCATAACGATTTAAAACAATGTTTTTGTTTTGGTTTGACCAATTCGTAAAAAAAAAAAAAACTAATTAAGACATGCATGTTCATCAACCTTAAACAATAGTCTTTGTCAATTTTATTTTTCAGTCTTTATGATGGTCAATACTTGATCTATCTCTTACTGTTACATACCTGGGCAACGCCGGGCTCTACTGCTAGTTCTTAATAAAATACAAAGAAGAATGTTATTGGTCCTGACTGGGCATCTTGGCTTCACTCATTTCCCCACTGCTGTAACATAGCTTCCCCATGCTTTTTCTGTAAATATTTTTATGACAATTGTTCTGAAGTTTCCTCTATGGTACCTAGACTTCATGAATTTAAGCACAGTACTAGACTGGCAGCAATATCTCCTCATTTTACAGTTGGAAAGGTTAGTTGGAACCATAAGTTCCATATTAATAGTTTCTTCTCTTGCTTGTAGAACTCTCTTCTGGCTTCTTGCTTTCCAGTCAACTTTGATCTTCACAAATTTAAATGCAAGGTCAATCGTTATCATTTGTCTTAATTCCTTTTATTTTATTGTTCTCTCTTTAATAATGTTTTCTTTTTCTCATAAAAAAAGCAATTTGAGATTGCACCATCAACAAACTGGGAATAGCATTACAGAAACACAAATAAAGCAGTGTGTAAATTTTTGGAAACAGATCAAACTGTCTACACTAGTCAATAAGATATTTGCTGTAATTGAAATAAATTCTCAGTTTGATATTTGCTAAACTCTTCAATATTGCTTTGAAATGTGATGATCATTATTTAGCTTTAGAAATACAAGAGACAAGTTCATCAAAAGTAAGAGTGAAAAAAAGGAAAAACTTGCACTATCACCTTTTAATTTTAACATTTTGAATGTGGGCTGAATAAAGTAGTTTGCAAGAACAAAGATTAAAAAATGGAATATTGATGTATGGATGCATTAAAAAACATATTTGTTGTTTTGACCATTTATAATGTAGATGTGTTTTAAAAAGATTCTATGAAGCAATCTGTGGGTATTATAACCAAGATAGATCAGTCAGAAAAAAGTGTGGCTTCTTCTCATGAACACCTTTGCAATAGAAAACAGGCTAACAAGCCCTTCATAGTGAATTTAATACATTTAAAAATCATTCCATATTGAAGGTTTATACACATGTTAATATTTGTGTGTGTATGTATGGATTAAAAAGTTTAGTCATTTGTAGTTCATCAAAAAATCTCATAAAATTACTGTAAAAAAATAGAAATAGTAATAATGTTTATCATTATTCATATTTCTATTATTTTACAACAATTTTCAATTTCAGTTTCATAGATACTATTTTTAATTTTAAGTCCTCATTATAAATATTCTCGGACTGTTGAAAACATTCAATTTTGTAGTGTGTGTGTTTGTGTGTGCAGATAGTAAAATAATTTTAAATTAAACACTACATGATATTTAATAAAATTAAGTGCCTTATACAATTACTTATTAAGTGTCTAGTAACATTTGGTTTTCAATATTTGCCCATTTTTTTTACTTAATAATTATCTGATAATTTCTGTTAAATAAAAATAGAATTTAAGTAAATGAACAAATAATGCTATTTGAAAAAGTTCTCAAAAATGGTCAGTGCCAATTGCTTATAAAAAATTAGCTTAGCACCAATAAAAAAAATGACAGGATTATTTATGCCTTGTTTCATTTACATTACTGTATTGAATTTAAAAAAAAATGATTTATGTCTTATTTTTAATCTTAAGTCTTTTGATTATTTCTCTTGCCAATTAACATCTTTCATTCACATCTTCCATGCTCATAAAAATTCAGCAATATTTACTAGTATTATATATGCTTACTTTAGCATGTGACCCTAAATTTTTTAGGCCATTGACCCTTTTCAAAGAATTCTTGATCCCCCATTGATAACCCCAGGCGTATACACGAAAAATAATAAGAAAAAAACTTCATAAATAATTAATAATAAACACATTAAAAATAATATGCCTTTTTAATGAATTGGTTGAGATCATTAATAGGAAGGAGATGTTTGATGAGCAGTGGCAAGGGCATTAATGTTTGGTTGGAAATTAGAGAGTTGTAGTTTGAAGTCACCACAATTTATCAACCCCATTTGTTACCCCAGGCATTTATTGATCATCCTTTTGAGACCTCAGGTATTTATCAACTCCCCTGGATTGTCCCACCAACCTCTAGAGGTCAATATCAACCACTTTGAGGATCCCTGCTTTAGCAAGATATTGGCTTTTATGCAACATATGCAAAAGTAGAATGTTTTGAATGAATATTCAACCTTTAGATTCTAATATTTGAAAAGTTTAAATATCATCATATAAAAATTTAATCTTTACATTGTATGTGCATTTGTAAAACTTCCTTTGTTGACCTTTAAGTCTTGAATAAAAAGGTTTCATTTAACCAGCATTTGGTCCAAGAATAGATTTGAAGTTCCACTTTCAATGAAAAATGACTTAGAAATGCAATATAATTTCTCAGAATTTTAAAACTCCTTTAATGTTTTTGCAGATTTTATTGTCAAAGAAAGAAAAGAAAAATTGAAACAAAATAGGAGAATAATAAATTCTATTCCCAGCTGATTACATCACCAGTTGATCATTGCAACATTTTTTCTTTCATCTGCCTGTTGATTGGTTGTTTTTGTTTCTGTCATGCTCAGTGACTTCTGTTTGAAATTTGATAAGAAAAACATGAATCACCTGCCTTTATCTTTTACCATTTGATTCTGCTTGTCATTATTTTTCCTGTTACTGTCATTAGATTTGTCATATACTTCAAATGTTTCATGCCCTCACTTAAGTGTTGGCTTGTGCAAGAACTTTTTAATTATTACTTTTTTTTAATGATATGAAGAATCATTTCTAGCCTTAAAATGCCAACACATTGTCCTCTTATTTCATCTTATTTTGTGTGTAACTCCCTACCACCATCCTCTTTCTCCCTCATTATTACTGTTTTCCTTCCACTCTTCCTCTGATTGTTTTCCATTAAATATTTTCCCCTCCCCAGCTTCCTCTTTCTTAGTCTGTTTTCTAATTTTATTTCACTTATCTATCTTCATTGGGATTTATTCTACTTTTTGTTTTTCTGTTATTTCTTACCTTTGTCTCAATCTCTCCCCCACAGACCCACCTGTTATCTGTGTATATATCTCTTTCTTTCCTTATCTCTGGTCGTATGTATCTGTCCATTTCTCTTACTTTATCTCTGTTTTATGTGCATGTCTGTCTCTCTTTCCTTATCTCCTGTGCCTGTTTGTCTGCCTGTCTTTCCTTATCTCCCATATCTATCTGTCTCTCTTACTCTTTCTGTTTTTATGTGTATGTCTGTCTATCTGTGTGTGTGTGTTTTCACTGTGCATCTACCTGTCTCTTTTCCTTTTCGGCCATTTTTTATACTTTTCTTCTGCTCTTTCTAATATTCCACTTGAATTGTCTTTCTTCACTCTCCACTTTATCTGCTTCAGTGTTTCTTTCTTTCTTTCTTTCTTTATTCATTGTTTTTATTCCCTCTCCTTTGCCACCCTCCACCAACCCTCTTTACTGTTTATCTTTATTTATCTGTGTTCTTATTCATTTCTATCGAATTTATCTTATTCACTTTCACCCTCGTCTCTTCATCCACACATATCAGTTCTGACTCTTATAAGACACAAACTTCTTTCTCTCCATCTTCCTCACCATCATCCACTGATAAAAAAAGGAAACAGGATGTTTCAAATAACACAAGCAGGTGAAAAGATTTGTTCTCTCTGTTTTTCCCACCCTAGGCTCCACCCAAAATTAATTCCTCTTAGCTGATTGCTCCTGACTCAAAACCTTCTCAGAAAAGTCAGTACAAATATTTTGACTACAGTTGAGTCAGTCATTTCTTTCTTGCTCATCTCTTATTGCAAGTGGGGCTAAATTGTTTGCTCAACTTGCAATTAACTTTGATTACAATGTAATCACCAGGATAATGAAACCTTCCCTTACTCACTCTGTATGGATTTTATAATCTTGGTCCAACTGACTTGTGTTATTTTTTTTTTTGTTTCTTTCTGTTTGTTTAAAGAGAACAATATTATCAGATGCATTCTTTGTTTACTTGGAGGAGAAGCATAGCAAGCAGATGCTGGCATTTAGAGATTTTCAATTTCAAATATGTGAACATGATTGTTCTTTTGTCAGCTCTTGCATGACTAAATACCCCATAATAAAAATTGTCTGGTTTAAAGATTTGGATTTTCAGGAATTCTAAATTCTAAATCACACACACACACACACACACACTTGATTTATAGAAATGTAGCAAACCAAACTTTGGAAAAAAACTACAGTTTAAAATGGTGCTCAGTGCTTAAAAGCAACACTGCAATAAACTCACAGTAAAAAAAAATAAGCAAACAATATTCACTCACTCTACTAAAGTTTTGTCCACTGGACTCCTCAGGTAGAAGAGCAAACATCATGTGTTCAATTGCTAGTCCTTTAATACAAATGCAGGAAATTATCTAATTTATATATCCCTCAATTTCTTAATCTGGAGCCAAGTGTGCCAGGAGGTATTTCTTTTCCTGCAAACTTCTTGCATCCATATATATTATATATTTCTTTGCATGTAAGTCTCATATATATATATATATATAAGTTCACAATACTTATCCAAATTGACTATAAAGTTTTTAACACTCTTCAGGGTCCAGATAAAAATATTCTTACCATGACACTGAAGACCATTAACATTGCAAAACTTTTACTTGGTTTAGATAAGTATCATGAACTTTCTTATTTATTGATAACAATTAGTCTGTCTATATTTCTGAGATGAGGTATTATGTACATTATTTACATTATTCGGACTATTGTCCTCATCTTTTTCGCCATATCTATCACAATGTTTCGGCCATTTTATGCTCTGGCCTACTTCAGGTGGTTGGAATGTCAAACCGAACCCTTTATTTCACTCACTGGGCTAGACTGTTCTAATTCCACATGCCATGTTTGATGGATGTCAGTTATCTCCTGTTAATTTCCCTCTGAAAGTTCTCCACTGCCTTAACCGGGTATTGAACTCACACTCTTTGGGTCCTGTCACTGGACCTAACCAACGCCTTTATCTACTGTGCCATGTGTCCTTGAGGTTAAGGCAGTGGAGAACTTTCAGAGGAAAATTAACAGGAGATAACTGATAACTGATATCCATCAAACATGGCATGTGGAATTAGAACAGTCTACCCCAGTGAGGGAAATAAAGGGTTCGGTTCGACATTCCAACCACCTGAAGAAGGCCGGAGCGTACAACAGCCGAAATGTTGTGATAGATATGGCGAAAAAGATGAGGACAATAGTCCGAATAATGTAAATAATGATAACAATTCCTTGAAATATTGATTGAGCACTCTTATTGATACAATTCTGCTCACCCTGACATGCATTAAATTATATAATTTTACTTATATCAGTAGGTATTATATGAGGATTACTCAATCAATGTCTCCTATTATGTTGGCTCATTATGTCTGAGATGAATATTAGTTACATGGCAGTAGAGGTTGAACCTTTCTGCCAATAACCCATTTTTTTTTTTTTACCTTGTCATAAATAGCATTTTGACCGAATGGTATCTGACATGAAGGTGCATATGAAGCAGAGAAAAATTGTGTCCATTGGCATTTACTGATGCTTACTAAATGCTTACAGAGACCAAACAATGGATATGAATACAGTTAAATAGTAACGTTTTTCAGCATTGCTGACAGCAATCTATGTAAAAATGTTTCACCACCATTTGTATGAGCTATTGGTATGACATGCAAGCTACTGTTTATTACTAGTGTAAATGTGCTGGTGACTATGTGAGAAAATATTGTTTAGTAGTCAATAAGTTGTTCCATCCAATATTATTATTGCATTCACTGTATCTGTTGTTTACATGAAAATAAATAAGAGCCATTACTTTCAAAGAGTTCTCTCATATATAGGTGTATGTGATATATAGTCACAAGTCATTGTGACTGAGGGTGTGAGTGTATTGGTCAGATTATGCACTCTCCACACCAAAACTAATGTCCACTTAGCATAGTTGCTGTATAAACCACATGTTGGCTCTGTGCCTGAGCAGGCGTCTGCAACGGGGACTGACTAATTGCCTAGGCAAAAAGGTGTGTTTGGGAAACTAGCAGTACATATACAGATGCATGGGTGAATGGTTAGAACATTCACATTCCAACCATGAGCCCTAGGTTTAAATCCCAAGGAGACAATGACCTTTTAGAAAATGTAAAGTATGTTTACAAAATGCTAAACAGCAATAATATAATATAGAGCATAATTTATGTGTGTATAAACTTTTAATCTTTTGTTCTTTTACTTTTTATATCACTCACCTAATCCATCCTTTGAACAGAGAAAAGTAAAATTGTCATAGAAGTGTTTTTACCTCTATAAAAATTTCTATACATACATTTTCAGCAAGACATGTATTTTCCTCTTATCATTATGCTAAGTCCACTTGAATTTCCTACTCTGGGCAAAGCTATATAGAGCTAACCATGGGAAAAACATTTTTAATAATTTTCTAATGTTTATATTAATAATAATGAAAATTAATTTGATAATTTTATTTCTTCATTTGTTCATATAATTTTGTACAGTTTTAAGAAAATCGAATTAAATAGATTATTTTGATTTATTTAAATAATTCCATAAAATCTTTTCAGTTCCATTCAACTAATTTGTAGCAATGTGATATTGCAGATGACAACAATGCTTATTATGAAGACTGTAGGTTTTCCAACTTATGACTGAATTTTAACAAGCTAAACATTTACAAGGGTGTTTGTATAAAATTCATCACATTGATCATGCTTTTTTCACACTGATAATCAGTACCCTACATACATATGTATATACACACACACACACACACACATATACACATATTCAAAGTTGTTGTTCTTCTAGACTAGTTGCCAACCAGAGCTAGAGAGCTCAGTTTGCCCAGTTATCAGCCTCTTGCTGGGGAGAGGAGAAATAGATTTGTAACTTTCCAAGGAAATTTGTGCAAAAGCAAGTGCAACAGCTTCATCTGAAATATATATATTTCCATTTATCATTTTATTGTACATATCAGTTGATTTGTATGAAAATAAGACCATTTCAACATGCACAAAAGACCTATTTTCATTAATTTCTTCATAAGAAAAACCTGGTCTATGAATTACAGCATTCAAAATATACTTGGCATTTTCCACCATATTTCAGAATATTATTTCCCCACTTTCAAGATTGTTTGGCTCAAAAAATGCATTGTAGAATTGTAGTTTATATGAAGATCAATATTCCATAAGTTTTGAATCTGCCAAACTGTGGTCCCAGTTACCTGCTGAAATCCTAAAATTCTACCCAGTTGAGAACCACTGTTTTCATATGAAGCATTTAAAAATATGTTCTTTCTTTTTCAAATGGAATGTTTAGCATTGTCTACAGCATTCAAAAAGCAATGTTAATGTATAAAATAATCTTTAAATTGTTTATTAACAAAATGGATTATTTATAATTGCTTGTCGTTTTAGAAAAAATGGAAAGTCATCCAAAGTTTTGTGATATTTTCTGCAGAAAGTGTATAAGTTTCTAATATAAGTTCAGTTTTCCTTACTTTAAAATCAAATTTTAATATATTATCCTGTTACATGGATTTGAATAAAACTGGATCAACGTATATTTATAAACTTTATGATACTTTCCAAAAAGATTAAAAAAAAAAAAAGTTTTATCAGCTTTCTTAATCCTTGCTCCTCATATTTTAAATTCCTAAGATTCTGATATTCTTAATGTCTGTAAAGACCTGAAGGTAGATATGGCTTCATTTTTAAAGAAAGTTTTAGATGTGAAATGAAAGATATAAATATTACATTTCATTATTAATAACAAATATCATTTTCTAATGCAAACTCCTCAGCCAAAAGGAAAAATGGGTTGGGATTTTTTTTTTTTTTTTTTTTTTTTTTTAAATGTTTTAATTACGTGACAATTTCAAAATATGTTGCAGTTTCTGGGGAGGAGAGGTAGATTGGCAGGAAAACATTTAACATTATTACCATTCTTAAATAATTTAAGATCATTGAGTGTTATTTTTTTTATCTTTTCAAATAAAAAAGAATTGAATATTCATTTTATTTAGTATTTGCCATATTTTAGTAAAACAATATTTGCAAAACAAGAAATCACACGGATACACAATAGAAGTTTCCCTTTATTTTTATTTCTGGGGAATAAACAGGTATTCAGTAAAAATACTCATCAGTCATTTGCTTTAACAAGGAATTATTTCAGTGCTTGTTGATTCAGTTTTCAACAGTTCTTCTTGAAAGAATCTTTTTTTTTTTTTTTCCTTTTATCCAAAACTAGTATTTTTTGACTCATGAGCTTTTTTTTAATTTTATTTTTAATTTTGGTCTTTATTTTTTGATTTAGTATTTATTTATTTTCACTTTATTTTTGTTTTTATGTTTTGGCTTATTTTGGTGACATGATTTTTAGTACTTTATTTTAGAGGCATTTCTCATTTTTGTTTGTTATTTTTTCAATTTTGTTTATTTCTTGTTCTTTGTATTTTCATTTTTTTATCTTTTTTATTTTTGCTTTATTACTATATATATATATAATATACATTTTCTATTTTGTTAAGTAATTAATATTTGCTCTTGTCTGAAGAATAAAACACATATACAATTGTACATAATATACTCT